TTAAGAATGTATGCATTTCTGTCAAAAAAAAATCTAATTTTTAAACTGAAAATGAATAAATGAGGTATTAATTTTTTTTTTTCTTATGTGAATCGAGTGATAACTATAGCTCAACCAAAATTAGTTGGCTTCCTCAGTAGGCGAACTTGTGCAATATTAAGTTGAGACTAACATTTCTTGTTTCTCTAATACTCTGATATTACTTATAAAATATACACTAATATATATATATGCATTAGAAGAGTATGATTTCATATTTCAAGATGCTTATTAATTTGTAAGTATTTATTAAATAATATTGGAGGGACTAATTATTTATAATGAGATTGATTCATTAAATTTTAATAGGACAGGCTTTTCTCCAATTCTTTGAGGTATGTGAGTCATTTTCGTTTTGTGTTATATTTGATCTATCTCATCGTTCAATGTCGAAATGGTCATTCTCTAATGAGCCTACTGGCTGTAGTTTTGCTAATTTGCCGTTTTACTGGTTATAACAAAAAATTGTTTTAATTTCCCTCATGTTATTTTTTTTTTAGTGGGCCATTGCTCTTTCAATATTCAGTGATTCGAATATTTATACATTTGCAAATTGGGTCCTGGAAAAAAATTATTAAAATTAATATTAAATTATTATATCATAATACAACAGGTTATTTCCTTTATCGTGTAGGGTCCCCTTTATCCCCTGGTTGAGACCATGGTCATACCATTGAAAGGGTCATGTCAAATCTGGTTAAAGATTTTAAACCATAGCAATAAAATGTTAAGTTACTTATATTAAATATTTGTTCTTCTGTGGCTAAAGCCTTAAATTTGTAATGTTAATTTGTTTATAAATTAATTGCGCAATCAAATTTTACTTTTGCTGACTTTGTTTATTTTTTCATAATCATGTATTACTATAGAAAAATATCAAATGTTGATCCCTTTTTATTTTATGTGTTGTTTATTAATCATTGCTGTGAAGATGGAATGATAATCAGTCGTTTATTCCATGTTGATCCCTCTTCTCCCATTGCAAAATAACTGGACGTTACCTTATTTTATTGTTCGAATTTTGTGGTAAAAGTTTTAAGCTTCATCAAACTTGTAATTCACTAATTCGAACAAATTAAAAATGGGAAAAACAGTAAATATTTTACTTCAAATGAAACCCTGACATGAAACAAATCAAACAAAAAGATTCCTTTTCTATTCATATTGATTTTTTTTTTTTAAATATTTGCCCAGAATATTAAATATTATAAATGAACTTAAATGATTATTTGCACTTCCTTTTATAATTATTAATTATAAAAATTAGTTTGAAAAATTGCCTATAAAACCTTTTTTTTCTTTTTCACTGGTGCCATATTTGGAATGCCATTTATATAGTTGTTAGTTTGTAATACATTTTTCAAAAACTGTTACTATTATTGCTATTTGATACTATTTGTTATAAGCCGTTCTATTTTAATTATTACTTAATTTTTAAAAAGCAGAAATTGTAGGCTATGCATTTTTTCTTTGCGTGTTTTCTAAAAGTTCATTCTTCATGACTTATTCGTATTAGCCTTAGATTGACACTGTAGATTAATATGCACTATGCCTTATTACTGTTGACTTTTCAAATTGAAAAGTTTATCTTAACAGTGCAAAATAAATTGACTATATATATATATTATTGTTGAAAAATACAACAAATTGGACTGAATTGTATTCCTTATAATTTAATACTTGTATGTATCCATATTGATATTTATAGTTATTTAAAGGTATAAAATTGTTTAATTCTATTTAAAAAATGAAATGTATGTATTTTACTTTATTTTTCATTATTGTAGCTTTTATTGTTAGAAATGGTTAGTTTTTGGGTCTAGAGGCCATAGTATTTCTAAATATGTTCTTATTACTTTTTTATCATAATTTCAACAGTGTCCCCAAAACAGTTAAGTAATGTGCCGTGATAATTAAGATTGTGTAAAAATAATTAATTTTTTGGAGAATGTAGAATAAATAAATAAAATTTTATTTATAATTTATATATATATAAATAATATTATAAATAAATCCATTTATTAATTTACTGTAGTATAAAATGAAAATAAATTAATGTTTAATACTATGATTAACCATGGTCTACCGACCTATTCAATGTGAAATAGGGTTTAGTTGAATTTGTTAATTACGTAATTTAGATTTATTTACTTACTTGTTAATACATTAATAGTTTCCATGGTGAACGGGTTTTACTAATATTATATAATCACTTTACAAAAGATAATAAAGTGACAGTCTTGTTAATATCACTGTCTTGGTTGAATGGCATGGATTCTGTCTTCATGGAATCAGCTTCAGCTTCATGGAATTTTCAGAAGGGATCTTGTTTTAAATGGGGTAAATAATTACTTAGTAAAGAAAAAAGGGAGGGTCTGGTTCTAAAATTTTAATATCACATTTTAAAAAAGAATCATTTTGCAATTTGAATCCAAATGAAAACTCCATGATTATGTTTTGCTAAATTGGTCAATTTTGAGTGTTGAAACATACATGTTTAGCAGCAATTTACAAAAAAAAAAATATTTTTATTAATTTTCATTTTTTTAATCCTAATTACATTCTGTAATATGTTGAGGTAAACTGTTCATTTAAAACTTTCATATCTTTGCCCAGAAACTAACCAACATATTGATGATCATTGGTATTAAACCTCTAATTAATTGAATTTTAATTGTTACAATCATTAATATCTTTAAATTATTATGAACAAAAATATACATTAAAAAATCTGAGTGGAGGTTCAAAAATATGTATCTCTTTATACCACATTTTACAAATATTGTTATGAATAAGCCTCTCTGGTTTTTTATTAAAAAATATCTTTTATTTTCATTGATACAACGACTATATTTTAGTAATAGTTTATGACATTAATGTTAAAAATATTTTACTTAGTAATTTTATAATTGGTATTATACTGTCATTAATTTTTTACATAGTCTTAAATGACTGTTTGAAATTAATAAATTTATTTTTAATTACAATTTTTGAAATGTAGGCCATGTCTTATGTGATTTTCAGATGTAATCAATTTAAAGAAAGAAATGATTTCAATTATGGTTAGAATATAATTTCAAGTATATACATATGTACTGTATTTATAGTATAGCGTATGGTTTTGTTGTAACTTATGGAAGAAGTTACTTTGTGATAAAAGTTATAATATTAATTATTATATTTAAAGAAGTATCTAATAAACATTAAAACATTTTTAAATCTTTAATTTTCCTTTCCTCGCATGCTTAAAATGAACAGATTTCTTGTTACACCATTTTTTTTTTCTTTTTTAAATATTATGGCATGTCTTCAGTAGTCCTGCAGCCAGGAGCTAAAAAGGGATTAAATACTCGTTGCAGGTGAAGTTTCAATTGTTAATTACAAAAGTATATATTCTAAGTAAAATAAAGAACCTTGTCTGCCATTTCCAGAACTGCTGCTTTCAAAACTGGTAGCTGATTAAAAAAATATTAGACCAGTAACTTGAGGATCAAAATGGGAAATATACTGCGAAAAATGTGGGAAAAGATTTTATTATTTTAACATATATGGGTATATGCATAAAAAAAAAAAAAAAAAAAAAAAATGGCTACCAAGGGATTATCATGGTGCTATTACTATAAATGGCACTGTAGCTTGGATATGGTTTCTATAAGAGAAAAAGCTCAGATTGAAAGTTGTACTTTTATTCTTAGAGTTTTTTCTCTTTTCCAAGCTGTAGAGCTATTTATAATTAAAGTAATTTCTCTCATTTTTTGACAAATTTGATAAAAATCTATGGTTTCGTCCATAATACTTGATCAAATTATAACATTAAAGTGCTTATTCGACGCAATATTTAATTTTTTTAAGAGTTAGTTTTTCGCTCTTATGAACTGTTTAGGAGTCATAGGTGAAAAAACAAAAAATTATTGAAAAATCTGGCTTTTTCAGTTGTAAACTCAGATATTATCCTTAAATCGATACCACAGCATCTTGAATGTGTGCAAAGCCAAAGATAAGCCCACTAAATATTAATTCTGTCAATCATTGTGTACGTTACTGTGCTCCTAGACTCTGATTCCTTTTTTTTTAGTGTCTATGCCAGCTTCTGTAAAATGATTACACTTATTTAAATAATTAAGGGGGGGGGAAATGGCTGTTAAGCATTATTTCAGTCAAACCAACTTTTGACTGAAAATCAGTACTTCCTTTCAAAGTACAACACCTAAGATCCTTGGTGCTACTGTTTTTAATAGAGTAAATTTACAGTTATAATTATAAAAAAATATAAATACTTTTAACTTGTTTGTTGATTAATTTGTGCAATTTTTTTTATAAATAATGATAGTTGTTTTATTTTATATAAATTAAATACTTTTGAATCTGACTACATACATAAGAAAATAATAATATAATAACAAATATTTAATAATACTAATAGATGACAAATGTTTAATGAAGGCTAGAGAACTAAACTTTTAAGTTAACTTCCTTATAAATTTTAAAATAATTCCTTATAAAAAATTGCTGAAGTTATCATAATGGCTGGTGATAAAAAATATAAAACCTTATTGAACTACATTTAATATTTACTTACTTTCAAAATGATTTCCTGGAGTAATATTAAACCTGTCTTGAGACACATATCCATATAACAAGGATGGATATGGATTAGTTAAGATCATACCAATAAATAACATATCTCTGTAGCTGTTATAGATTCAATTTATTTATTTTATTTACATTTATATTTAAATTCAGTTTATAAATTTGTATAAAAAATTTACTATTTGTACATTCATTATCATAATTTTTTTTTTAAATATTTCATTTACATCAAGTTTCATTTACTTTTAATTATGAAATGAACCTTTTTTTTTTTCAAGTGTTTACTTTCATTATTACATTTTAAATTTTCATCTGCTCTATAAAGTAATAACTTAATTCTAAAGATGCATTCAAATCTTGTTTACTTTTCTCCATTAGTATTTTTCTGTAGTGCTTATGAAACTGAAAACACTGATAGTAGTTTTTCTGTGAATAATTGCCATTTTTGTGATTTAATTGTTTATAAACATGTTGAATGATAGAAATACTTGATAAGATGATATCTCTTTACTCATTTGAATACTTTTCATTTAGCTGAGAGTTACCCTATTAGTGAGTCAGTTCTTTTAGTTTAGTGTAGAATAAATTAGGCTTGGAGGCAAAATGCCACTTCTCTCCTCCTGTAATTACTCAACTCCTACTTGAGACAGAGTTGACATTGTATACAGTTGTTCACTTTTCATTATGGTAAGTTTTTCACTTCTCATCTTATCTCATAATTACTCTAAACTGCTGATTTTTTTTTTTACTATCTCCCGTTGCTGCATTTTATGATATTTGAATTAAACTCTCTTCTTATTTTGAATTAAAACAGTTTTTGAAAATTGTTCTATTTGTCATTAATTATCAATGCTAACATTGTTTTCGTTTATATTAACTCATTTAAATCAGTTACATAAGGCTTTGAAAAGGGATTCAATGTTTATAACTAAACTATTAGCTTTATTGACTATAAATCTCTATTTTTCCCTGTTTTACTATTTTGATACTTGAAATTAATATTGTTTCAATTGTTATAATTGCTTTAATTTATCAATAAATTATTGACATTTTTATTTCATTGTTTTGTTTTTGATTAGTTTTACAAATATGTGAAAACTATTAGCATAAACTTTTTAAGTTATACTGTTTGCTTTAATTTATATTCATGTTTTAACATTTTCAGATTACCAACAGAAATTAACATATTTTATTTGTAATACCCATTTATTGTTGTGATTTGATTTTATAATAACTGAAAAAATGTAATAAAATGTTAGAATTTAAAAGTCCTTGAAAGCTTTGGTACATAGTCGCTAAACAAGTGTAATTGTAAATTGTTTTGAAGGTTTCTTTTGGCATCTATTCCCACTTTATCATTTATGTTTTCTTTTTATAGTTACTATCAGAAATATCAGGTTTATTCTCAATAAAATAAGCCTAACTCATAATTTTAAAAACACTAGATATAAGTTTTAGTGATTAGTTGAAATATTCAAAAAATCCTTAAAACAAAAATATTAAATATTGCATTTAGTGCCCTATATATATGATATTTTTTTTAAGAAGTGCCATTACCTACTTCCTTGTATACAACAAAACTTTGTTAATTTTTAATGATTCCTATTCTGAGTTATAAAAAAAAACTAATCATGATTTGAAAAATACCAAACCTCTATCTTTATTATTAAAAAACCATAGAAATCAATATCATGTAAATAAATATAATGTGTTTCAAGATGAATTTATGATAAATCCATGAATCTCCTTTGGTGTAATTGGTCATTTTCAAATTTAATTGCTATTAAAACTAGTAATTTCATTTAGAGTTTTCTTCATAATTATTTATTTCTTCTCCAGGTTCTAATATATTTATGGTTCCATGATAAGTGAGATACAATAATACTAAATATATGTTTAAGTAAATTGTTTCTTTGTTAAATTTTAATCCTTAAAATCAAAGCTAAACAGTTAATTATCTTATTGCTTTCACGCTAACCTTACCTTTGCTTTGATAATGCAGTAGAAATACATGTGTAACTCAAAATATGTATAAGGTAATTAACTGTTTCTTTTTCAATTTCAAGGGGTCTTTTGAATTTGCCACATTTTTGTCTATCTGTATAAATTATTGCATACACCTATTGGCACTATCAGCAGGTAAGATGGAACGTTAAGTATATATACAAATTATTACTTGAAAGATACCCTAGGATACCTGTCTCCCTATGAAAATTTCTCTGAACTTGACATATTGAATGGTGATTAAGAAGTTTATGAGAAAGAGAAGATGAACATGTTATATTTTGTCATAAAAGAGTAATTAGTTCTATGTAAGTTTTGTTCACGATGAAGTTTATTATTGGAATGTTAAGATTTTAGTGTAATATGCCTTGCCGTGCAAACAATTGTTAAATCTTTAGTTGGAATTGTGATCCGTTGATCCAAGAATCAGGTGAGTCCTAATTTTACTATTGTATTAATGAAATTTTGTTTGCCGACGAAATTTCTGTTGGTGAACAAATCTGGCTAAAGTGTAATATTAGTCCTTTCCATCGTAGTAAATAATTTAAGAAAGATTACTTCATAGTTCAATAAAAACTCCGTTATCCATTTTTTGTAAAATGTGCATATCAAGACTTATTATTTAATTCAATGTCTATTGGTGGAATATTATGTGTTTATTATTTAGTATCATGTAGTTCTCTCCAAAATTTGTAATTATGCACTTACCTGTTTCTTGAATCAAGGCCTTAGTGTTCAACATCAAACTTTTTGACAATCCCATAAATTTATGAATCCTGAATTTAGATTAGTTTCAATCGTAAAACAAATAAACATTTATAATAATCCCAAATTTCTAGGAGACAAATATCTGATTCTCAGTCATACAGCATTCTTGAGGGAATACGGTCTACATTTTGCTCCAAATACATGATTTATCCCATTAAAGTAGTCATTTACCATATTCTCTAAAATACATATTTTATAGTTATGATATATATAAACGTTATATAATATATTATATTTTACATTTATATATACAAAACAAATTAAAACTGTGAATATGTTTTTGTATAATTTTATTTTTAAAAATACATTGGTTACTTTACATCAAAATTCATATGATATCACAATTCCAATTTATTAATTGAATCATCAAAGAACTTCAATGACACGTAAGTATTTGGTCAACTTAAAACATCAATATAGTAAAGTCATTTTTACAGTGTTATTGTTATACTATTAATGAAAGAAGAATACATTCAACGAATCTTAGTTATTGAGTTCAAATATCCTTCATATTTTTTTATTTATTCTTTTTGAAACAGGCTTATTTATCTGCTTTCTTAAATAAACTGCCTGCAAAGAAACTTGAATTTTTATGTTTTGGATTAAGCATTTAAGCAAACACTCAACAGTTAAATATATATATATATATATAAGTGTTATTGTCAAGCCAATTTCAAAAACATTCAGAATATTTTTCTGAATCCATAACATTTTTTTTTTAAATATTAGTTCATTAAATGACAGAATGTATATACAGTATGTATACACCATATTTATATTTTCTTATTCCTCATGTTCTATAATATTGTTGCAAACAACAAAAGATCATTATCTATAATAGTAATAAAAATATAATACAGATATATTTTTATTTATAAGATTTAAAGTTTTTATAAATGCTAAAAGTTTAGGGCCATCTACGAGTAATTTATATTTTGTTTCAAATTCTATCTTGAAAACTGTAGAGAGAAAATGAGATGTTAATTCCTGAGGACTGTGTTTTTTTTTGGTGTTATTGCTAGGTTGTTGATAACCTATAAAATACAGAGTTCAACTGTATTATTTCCATTTCCTATTATATTAAATTTGAAGTGGAACAAGATTCTCCCTTGCAAATAATGATCATGCTTTGAGAAAAGAACCACATCAAACTATCTTTAAATAACCACACTTAGTGTTTTATCTATATAACTAGTCACTGATTGCTTGGTTTCAAGATTATGAACTATTTTCCAATAAAGCTGAATTTTCAAAACTAATACTGCCTCTAAGAGTTTATTTCTTTTCTGACTCTCAGCTTTTGGGAAGATCAAATTAAAATCATTATGATTGGAATAATTTTGTAAATGTGAAGGAGCATTTCCTTGATTAAACTGGCAAACGAAGTTACCACCAATGTTTCCGATGAAATATGTAGTTTGGTGAGCTACCAATTAGTTAAAATAGTCAATCATTTCGAATTATTAATAACATTCTATTGTATCTATTTATCTTATCATTATATTGATATTTATGAAACATTAATACTAAAGTTAATTATGTCATCTTAGAAAGTTGATATTACATATGTAAACGACTAGATACTTTCATTTTTTACTACAAAATATATGTAATATTCTACTCAAAGATAAACTAAAGTTCTATTTTCATGAATACTTTATTCATATAAGATTGTATTTCATTGAGGAAATTTTACTAATTATGTTTGTTGTAGATCTATCGAAAAATTTTCTCATTTTTATAACAAAATGATATTAGCACATTAAACAAAAACAAAAAATTATTTTTGAAATTCAGATAAATCTTCAAGAGTTGAAATCCTTTTTAAGTAAAGGTGGTTGTGTTTAAGTGCAATAACTTAATAAAAGTTCAATAACATCAATGAGAAGTAAGGGGATGATGCAAATAAAAAACAATAAATAAAAAAATAGCAAACATTATGTTTTCTACTAATCACTTTCTCCTCTGAGTTCAGAACATGAAAATACCAGATCCAGTTAATGGATAACTTATGAGGAAAGTGAAAATATTGGATAACAGACAACACATGTTATGGTAGAAATCAAGCTGCCAGTCTCTTGGAAGCCACACCAGAGGAATATATAGTTAGATAATTTGTTTATCCCCTTAGAATGAAAAAATATTGAGTTACTAGAAAAGTTTAAAGCCCAAAGAGAATTATATATTCTTATACTATGATGAAAGTTCAGAATTACTTGGTAACAAGAGTGTTAAGGATTTCTAAAAAGGGCGGATCTAATTTTGACTGAAACATTTTATCATGCACAACAATGTGACCGAAGTGGATTAGAATATGTGTATGTTGATGAAATATGAGGATAGAATTTGATGAAATTTAGCATATGACACTTTTGCACGATTTTATATCCTTGTTTATACAGAAGTTGGTCTAAAACTCTTTAATTTTTTTACAATAATTTGAGCAAAGATGAAGAAGATAATATTCATACGCCATAATAATTATAAAAGGCCATCGGAAATCTAATTTCATTCATATCCTGGATACCTGGAAGTTTGAAGGGCCCATGGGCTCATTATTTTAATCGATAAGGGTCTATTTAGATAAGGATTAATAACAACTTTAATATAGACAAGAACTCTGAATGGAGAATAAGTTATACTTTGATTGTATCGAACAATTTGTATTTGTTACGGTCATCTTTAATATTCTTCAAGGGTATTAACCAACGCTTATCGATTATCTTTTATTCGATAGTGAAATAAGAGGAAGTAGTTTGTTCCAGGAGGAGGGGCGAGAGTGCGGGCGCCTAGACCGGAGGAATTCTATCTCCTTGCCAGCTGGGCTGGACTCCATGGAGCCAATAGAGTATACACCTCAGGTATTTTAATTTATTACTTAGATATTCATTATTTTAAACGCAATTTTGATAAGTTGTTAGTTTAGGTTATTAAATTTGTCAGTTTGTATTAGTACCACGAATAAACCACTGTGTCTTCAGATACATTTAGATAATTATATCAACTGTTTGTTTTTACTTGAGCTTATGGATAATGAATATAGATACAAATTATAATTTTAATTTAAGTTTTCGAAGAAGGCAAACACAACGTAAACTACAAGAACATGTTGCGAATTTCCCAGTTTCTGTAGGAATGCTATGGTGGCCATTAAACATATTTCAATAGGTTACCTAGTGATGAATTGAAATTACTATTGTAATGCACTAAACTTTTGAGGGAAAAATGCTGATTCCAGATGGTTTAGGGTCTGATTTTAGATGAGGGGTAGTTGGAGATGGGTGTTATCTATGCTTGTATTTTACTGTTTTTTTTTTACCTGATTACAAGTTACTGTGAAAAGGTGAAGAATTTAAGAGAGACAGCTGGAGGATTAACTAGCGTCACAAATACAGTTCGTAGTTGTTTTGTTTGAAGATTTTCCATCTGATTAACCTTTAAAATTTGTGAAGGTTCGTTAAATTTACAAGACCTCTTTTGAGACAGTGCCCAATTGGCCTTTTAAGCAAAAGTGCTTCAATGTTTCTGGGTGATCATTAATCCATCAATATTCCTGACCTAAAGAAAAATCTCTGTAACATCAAAAAGTTACTTGATTCCTGGAATGCGCTTACCTTAAATGCGTAATTTCAGTTTTTTACTACTTTACGCTTTTGAGCTAAACTGTTCACATGCGTGCGTCCACACATATACGTACACAACGACCCTTTTACGAAACTTCAACTCGGGTTAATTCGGATTCGAACTTTTTCCCCACCCTTTTTTTTTTTTTTAGGTAACAGGCATCTAAATGAAGAAATACGCAAACAAATACAAATCTTCAGTTCTATGAATTTTATAGTAAAATAAGAAACAGATGAGATAGAGTGTTGAGGTAGAAAGGAATGAAGTAAAAAAGGTAGAAAAAAAAAGTAAATTAGAAAAAAAAAAAAAAATAATGGCGTTTCGGTCTTGCCTTAGCGATCCCCAGAAGGTATTACTCATTGATGTCGCTAGTTTTCCTTCTCCTATTTGATGTTTTACTTTGATTTTTTCTCACAACAATTTTTCTACAATTGTGAAATTTCTTAAAAAGTCATTTTTCGTTGTTTACGTTTTTACGTTATTTACAAGCTTGGTATGTGCTAATCAGTTGTTTGTTTACGTTCTCCTTGTTTTGCTTCTAACAAGTTGGCTCGACATTTTACCGATCCCTACTATCCTTGAAAATTTGGGGCATATCAAAAAATCTGATTATGTGATATGACCGCCTCATGGATTGACTACAGACAGACTGACACTAAAATATATCTGTTCCTTGGTGTCATAAAGGTAAAGGGCGAGTGAAAATTTCTGTTCGTAGGATAATTTAATATGAAAATGTAGCATGAAAACAAAATCACATGCTTGTTACTCTTCACTGACTGCGTCCCATTAGCCCTCTCATTGATCTATACCACTAGCGGATCCAGGATTTAATTTTGGGGGGGGGCTTCAGCCCGAAACCTTTTTTTTCATAAAAATAACGATAATTACTTTGGAAAAACAGAAAGAAACTAACTACCTATATTAAATGGTGTTTAAGTTATTCCTTAAGTACTTTTAAATGTAATTACACGAACAATAATACTTTAAGAGGTATTTTTAAAAAAAATTTTCCCTTAAAACATGGTTATATTTTTCCATTTGAGGGGGGCTTCAGCCCGAAAGCCCCCCCTCCCTTAGATCCACCCGTGATCTATACTTACTGTCAACAAAACATAAACGAAACTACAGTTATTAAGCCTTAATATTAAAACATAAACAAGCATATATCATTTGATAAACATCAAATCATTCATTAGAGATAAACAAAAACTTATATTGCTGTTTTAAAAACCACTTCATTCAACCATCAGTTAAGAATTCAAGCCTCAACTGGAGGTAAATATTTGACCCTTGGGGTTAAATCAGAAATTCTCTCTTTCTTTTAAAATTGGAGAAATATAGTATATATTCTATATATGAGAAATATATAAGACAGCCGTGACTTTTAGTATTTTATTGAAACTAATTATCTTTAAAAACTAAAAGGTTAATGAACAAAGCTGTAAACTGTAAATAGTGTGTCTTTTCAGATGCAATACTTTTTTTCTCAAATGTAAAACACGACTTTCACAGAAATATGGGTATTTTAAAAATCTATGTATAGTCTATTATTGAATATATCTTGTAATAAACCGTAACACTCAAGAGAATCACTCTTGTTTACAATTACATTTAGCACACACAAATTATTGATCACTTTCCTTTGCGTTTACATTAATTTAAAACTGACATTAAAGATCAAGGCATCAAAGAGATTTAACACCGTTCAATGAAAGATACAAGACCTCGCAGAGGTGTTATACCCCCCCCCCCCCCCCAAGGTCGATGGTGCATGATCCTCCCATCCCTCCTAAGATATTTTATTTCCCTACTCTTCTTGAAAACAGTGCAATCTGAAAGTAAAAGTTTAAATTTTAAATCATAGGTCTTTTACAATTACACTTTCAGTGTTCTGTCTGTCCTATGCTTATTTCTTGTTCACTGGTTTGAAACTTTTCAATCCGAAAATTCATAACCCCGACGAAATGTGCTCCCCTCAAAAATTTTGATGGCGCAACTCGCGCCATGAAACTCCCTTGCAACCACCCTTGAGGTTTCGTGTCAAAACTGTTACCCATACCTATCCCCATTCCTTAAGATGTCCTCGGGTAGCAGAAAGACCAAGAAAGAAGAAATATATTTATGTATTGTAATTTGTTTAAATAAAGGAGGATCAGAAACAAAATTAAAGAGGTGTATCATATTTTTGACAAGTTTGTCTGGGTGAGAGTTACGGATTTATGAAGCAGTAGGACAATCAATGTAGAGGAGGAATAAAGAAATAATCCACTCAATAGTTTTTTATCTGTAATATAATATAATTATTACCTTTACTATTTATAAAAAAATTCTATGAGTTATTTTCAAGTAAATAACTATAAATAAATAAATGAACAGTGAAGTAGTGGGGGAGCCAGACAGGGGTGTCCACCCTCCACCCCCAAGATCGATGGCTCATGGATTTTCTCCCCTCCTTTTAAGATACTTTATTGCTCTTCTCTTCTTAAAAACAGTGTAAGCGAAAGAATGGATTATTAATTTGCTATATTAATTTTGATCCTTACTCATTTTCATTAGGTGACGTAGAATTTAATTTTGGGGAGACTTTTTTGTGTTTACTTAATAACGGTAATTACTCTGGAAGAAATAAAACTACTTATATTAAATTATGTACCATTCTTTAAGTGTCCTTAAAGGGAGTGGGGGGAAGGAAAGTCGGTAATTACAGGAACAATAATTCTTTTAGAGATAAATTTCTTATATCAATTCTTCTCATGTGGTTACATTTAGTAGCTCTATTAATTTAAAAAGAGATTATATTATAATTGTCTAAGTATTTAGCCTCTCTTACATAAACAAATATGGACCAATGAAAAAAAATTATTTTTCTATTTTCGGAATTCTTTTCCGAGATCTACCAGTGTCGTTTTAATTTACAGATATCTACAGTCGACATATTTATTTAACTTTTACTGTTTTTATTAATTTCTCTTAATATATTTCGGATGAATTTATTTTTCCTCTATTGCCAATCCACGATGTAACGCTATAATGAGTATGTGCGTAACACATAAATTTATAGTTTACAATATCACAATAAAACCCAGAACATTTGTTTGGAGTTATAATTACATTATAATAATGTATTTATGAAAGCAATCTAATATATATATTTTTTTTTTATTAAGATAACAAAATGTAAGCGAAGTCGTGTTTCAACTTGTCTGGTCGACATTTCGTCTATCCGCTCGTTTGTTACGCGATTACAACCAAATGAATTGTTTAATTTCTTTTATATTTGACAAAAATGTTCCTTAAAGTCAGGAAAAACGACGTATGGATGGGTATGGATTTTAAGTTTTTATTTCTTATCCAAGATGGCGGTCGTTTTAATGGATTCTACTATCAAATGTGTTATTTAGGCACAACAAAATCAGATAATAGCACTGATTGTGTAGAGATTAAATTATTTTTTAAAAGTAAAAAGTTGATCGACTGTAGAACGGGTTATGTCTGTAAAAATTTCTTTGATACAACAGCAGATTTAATCTTGTCTGATTTTGGAGATTTTTTGAAATTGATCTTTGCTATAACATGACTGATGTTTCGATATAACAAGAAGGGAAAAAATGTAAAAAGATCCATTCGTATTCAGCCGTTTCGATTTGTATATTAAAAATAAAATAGCAATAAAATCGATCGGAATGGAGTGGTACTTGAAAGCGTTGGCAGACTAGAAATGAGGTTGCCGTCAAATAATAAGATGATGCTCCCTTAGTTAAGGCCCATCCGCTCGTTTAAGACCACGTGTTCCTTCAGTTTGGATCTGATCGGATCAACATTACGTGCATTGACACGCTCGACAGTTTTGTCCTCAGGATGATGAGAAAATGTCATTTTAACCTTTACAAATCGTAAGCGTTTAGGAGGTGAATGCAATGGAATCGTCGCCAATTGTTTATATGATTACTCTAATCAATGATTTGATTCGCTTTGTCTGTCGATGTGACAGTATTGCGGAAGTGTCTCATTAGTCCATCATATTGTATCTGGTCGAGTACTCATAAAATAAATTTATTTTTGCTAAATAAAAAAAAAATAAGCGTTTACATACTGTTAATTTTTAATCACTACGGTTTTATTTATTGTTCCACCTTTATAGCCATATTCAGGATAAATATGGACCATACTGTCTTTTGTATTTGTGAGCAATTCTAATTACTTTCCTTCAACTTCGATTCTGATCTGACGAGAC